CTGAGATTTTTATCTCAGACTATTAAGTTGTAATTTTAAATGATTTATAAAATATTTCTTCCGTTAATTTTTATATAGGCATAAAAATTATGGAAACCCTAAGGTTGTCACAACTTTAAATAAACTGCTACTGTTTTCCAAGTATATATGAAAATGAACCTTAAGGAAGTCATTAAAAACATACTCTTGTGTTGTATTACATTACTTCTTATTATTTTCTTGATTTATTTCCATATTATATCTTAAAAAGACCTTCTTTTCATTTTCCCTGTTGCCTATCTTCAGACCATTTTCCTGCTCATTAGACTGGGAAAAAAGAAGTAGAAAATATATAATTTGAAATTAGAATATGAAATTTTGTATTTGGTATTTGCTATAGCAAAGTGTAAGATTCAGAATATATTTGGGATTATTGGATTAATGGATTTTATGGTGGTGGGATTAATGACTTTTATATGATGGGAGCATTACCAATAATTTACTAGTGTGTTTTCTAAGATGGCCCTGTCGATTATTATATCAAGTACTGAAGGGCATGGGATTTACATTCTCATTAATGTTTGTTCAATGACAGAAGCTGTCCTCTTGCTGCTTTGAGTCTCCGCTAGGCTGTTACCCTTACCTTGAATGCTCTTTCTCAAGTAGGTGGCGGCACCATTTCTTTTCTGTTATAAGGGTCCTTGTACATGGGGCTTTCCCACTTTTTTCAGAATATACTTGAGAACTATTTAAGGAAGCAGGATCTTAGAGGACACTCAGTCTTGTCTTGGAAACAATGTGGAAGGAAGAAGCCTGTAGCAGTTGTTAGGGGCAATATCTTTAAGAAAACATCAATATTGCTAAGTTTTTCTTAGAGGTGAAAGACTTGTCTTTCTCATGTTTTGTTTTGTTTTGTTTTTTAAGCAGACAGTTATGTAGCTAGACTACCACGATGTGAGGAGTGAGGTGAAGCTGAGAATAGCCTCTTCAGGGTTATAGGTCAGGGTGAAGTTCTTGGCAAGAGACTTATTTAGCGTGGTATGTGGAAAGCACATGGCTGAGGAGGCAGGAAGACCTTTGTTCTAGCTTTGGTTCTCTGTTTTTCTTTGTGACACTGGGAAACTCTCAATTCTTTTCAGCCTCAGGCTGGATATATTAAATGAGGAAGATGTCTCTCTAAGATCTTTTCTAACCTTAAAATTCCATGACTGACTAGGACACCAGGGATAGCAAGGAAGTTTCCATTTGACAGGATTTTTATTTTTAATATTATTAAGTAAAGAAGTCAGCTTAATTTCATATTATAAAGTCAAGAGGATGGAATAAATCATTTATCTTAGAGAATTCGAAGAAGGGATCATTTTTGACTCGTGTATTTATGCTCTGACCTAATATTAGGTAAGTGACACATGTTGTGGTGGAGAGTCCCAGTTATAACACCTGGAAGTAATCTGGTAATAGAATGACTCAGAGGAATGTTAAGTCACCATTTTCCCCTGAGAAAACTGAGAAAGACATTTTTCTAGACTCCCAGAATGCTATTACCTTTTCCACTGGGGTATGTTCCTGCCTGGAGACCGAGGATGCTGGGAAGTAGCCCTACTGTGTGATAGCAGTCAGTCATCAGACTGAAGGTCCCACTGAATATCTTTCATTGATGAGCTCCTGAGTGGTAAAAAGAGTGCCAGCACTGAACACGTGTTTTACAAGATCAGCAATAGAATGCTGCCCCAGCTGGCTTTTTGTTATGCGCTGAGCTAGGTATGGTCACAAGCTGGGTAGGCAGAGAGAACTTTGAAATACTGAACATGTCACAATTGTGAAAGAGCTAGGAATCAGTACTGACTGAATAAAATCTATACGGCAGTCAAAGGGTGACTTGTTGAGGAATGGCTTTGTTCTGGTCAGATTCTGGAGAATGAGCTACTGCCAAAGGCTCCATCCAGAGCAGCATGGAAAAGATGGCACAGCCGACATTGGTTGCTTTTCTGCCATCATTTCTTTAAGGACTAAAAAATTATTGAAAAGTTTTATTTCCCTCTCTATCAAGAGCTTCTAGGGGAAAAAAAGAGAATTGTTTTATTTCATAAATGCATTTTCTTTTAGTAAATAAAGATATGGTGGCTAATCCAAATAAATTAGAAACTTGGATACAAAATGTATCTGATAGGCATTAAGCTGCAATTAAAAAAAAAAAAAGCCACTGTGTAGAAGATCTTGATCAAGGGATGTAGAGATCAACATTCAGTAGCCTATTATGTCCTCAGGAACTTGAGTGAGGCAGACTGATAAATGGCTATTATGTTTCATTCAGTGTTTGTAGAGCGTCTCCCCTATGCAAGGCTCTGTGCTAGATGTTGAGACTACAGGATAAGATAGAGTTCTTGTTCTCAAGACATTACGTTTTAGAGGAAGATGAGTAAATGGGTAACTAGAGCACAGGGTACATAGAGGCATATAGGAGGGATGAAATCATTAGAATGCACAGCAGAGAGTGATGTAGGTGACTTTGATTATATCCTAAGAATAGAACTAAGCAGTCTCAAGGAACCTATTCCTTGCGGTGGTTGTGAGCTGTGCTTAAAGTTCTGTTCCGAGAGCTGCACACTTCATATGTTAAGAATAACAACAGCTAAGAATTTTACGATGCCTTTACTCTGTCAGGCACAGTCCTCGTGCTTTACATATAATAAGTTATATAATCCTTAAAGTAATCCTGTAAGGTAGAAGTTAACATTAGCCAAGAAACTGAGGCCCAGAGCAGTCGAGTTACTTAACCAATAACAACTAGAATGTAGTGGATCTGGGACTTGGCTCCAAAGTTCTGTTCTTAACTACTGTGCTGTTAAGACTTATAGAATTAAGGGAGTCAGTTACTGGAAGAGCCATTGTTGTATGTTTTTGCAGATATAGCAGCTTAATATTAATAAGCTGAGCACCTAGGGAAAAAAAATTGTCAGTATATATGTTTTTCATTTTCTAGAAATAAAGCTGTATAGTATCATAATTATTATTGGAATTGCCCTGTACTAGCTACAAATTTTAACTACAATTTTTTCATTTGAAAGTATAGAAAGATACCTTTTGATTTAATACTATTCTCCATTAGAGAAAAGGACTTTCTTGAATTTTAAATATATCTAAAAGAGATTGCATAGCCTCCTGCAGTCATTGAATCCTGCAGCTCATTGAGGTGGGGATTTTCTGTTCAGCCCAATATTCTCCTGGTCAAGTAAGAGGCTACTTTCTCTATCTCTCATCCATTGAAATGTCTGTCTATTTTTACAACACTAGAGGCCTTTAATTTATAAGCTAGATTTGTAAATTGATGGGGTCTAGCCTGGTTGGGCTTGTGGTGTGTGTGGCTTACCCCTTTGCCTGGAGCTCTGCTATTTGCTGCTCTGAGGGAGTTAATAAGAGCTTCAGTTTGTCCACAGTTTATAGGCTCAAATCTAGATGATCTGAAGGGAATAAGAATAAAATGAAAAAGTCAAAGTTATGGTTGTAAACTAGAAGGAAAGTTAGAATTTTAAAACCAGCATCAATATGGTGCAGACAAGAATTAGAAGTTAGGAACAGCCGAGGAGGAGAGATTTTTAATCAGAGCAACCCTCAAGACATTTGAAATTGTTATGATGATTTTAAAAAGGCAACCCTTTGGCTTTAAAAAGAATCAAGGACTCGACTTTATATTAAGTATAAACACATACAAAATTTAAGAGAAAAAGGTAATCTTTTTATGTAAATCCATTGTGATTTATGGTTTCTTGGCCTTTGAAAACCTTGTGCCTTGATTAAATACATTGAGTAGTTTTAGAACTTAATTTATTTTTGCACAAGCAAGTATTTTTAATATAGCAATTAAGAATGTCATTAGGAAGATTTTTGAAAGCAGTATGTGCCATAAATCTTGAATAGTATTACTAACTAAAGAAAATGAGATTTTAGACCTCATTTGGACACACAACTAAAAAAAAGTAAACTTTTTCATATAATACTGAAATTAACTATGGAATTGAAACTTCCTAAGATAATACTTTGTGTAAATATACTTTTTATTTTGCTTTTTAAAACAGTTGTTTACAGAAGGAATACAAAAATAGTTTTTTTTAAAGCATTACAGATCGAAGTTCCCTTTGACCCCACCCTTCCATCTTCCCAGAGGTCATCATTTTGCCATTTATTCTTCCAAATCATTTTCTGAATGTTTATATGCATATGTTTGTATGCATAGAATATATATTTATGTTTTGCATAGATATTTAAAAAATGACCCACTGAATATATTGTTTCCTGGTTCATTTTAAATATGACCTTCCATTATGTTTTGTTTCTGATACTTCGATAACGTTACTAATACCAGCTGACATTTATTGAGTAGTACTATCTGCTAGGCAAGATGTTTAGCATTTTCATACAATTTAGTCTAATAATCTTCATAATAAGCTTCAGAGGTATGAATCCTGAGAAGGAATATGTCTGCCAAGAAGGATTCCTTATGTTTAACTGGGCCCAAAATCATAACCAGAGTCTAGCAGCCATTGCTAACAGAGACCTCTCACACACTCTGCATTTCAGGGAAAAGCCACAGACTGAACTGCCAAGCCTCCTGCACTGTGTCCTGCTGTCTGAGCTAACCCTTTTAAGGGAGCTCCTCGTATCATCTTTCAACCAATGGGCTGAGTCCTGCCCCACCTAATCAGAACTGCACAGCTATGGCTTTATTTGCATCTATACCAACCAATCAGAGCAGCTCAATAACAACCAATCAGAATGTGTAAAGCTGACCAATCAGGGCAGTGCTATTTGGACCAATCAGAATGGTGCAGTTTTGATTCCTCATTTGCATAAAAATGAACCAATCAGGAACTGGGGCACGAACTTTCACTATAAAAGTCATCCTCCCCCTTTGTCCTGGTGGAATGCCCTTTTGGTTTCCGCTGGAGACTACATTTACCCAGTTTGCAAATTGTTCCCCTGACTAGTTTCTCCTTTTCCCTCACCCCAGACTGGGGACTCTGTTGGCATTGGATTGGATGCAGCAACATTTTGTTGGCAGAGGTGAGTAAAATAGTTGATTTTATATGAAAAAAATTCTTCCTTCATTACACCTCACATTTACATTAAATTACTAATCTCAGTAGTTTATCATTCTTTAATAACTTCAAAAATAAAACATTTAGAATGATTTTTTAGATTGATAAGAATATAACTTTTAGTTCTGTTAGTTTTGCTATTCATGGGCAGTTGGCCTTCCTCTACCAAGTCCCTGGAATGAGTATCTTTGCTAAGCCAGAAGGCTAGGAATGTGACTGCTCACCTTTTAAGAATGAAGAGGTATATGTATAATATCTGACTCATTCTAAATGAAGAACAGACAACCCCAGACATTTCCTCAGTAGTTAATGCTTTTAAACTCCTATGCCTGTGATGATGTCCTTGCTTTGGGAAACAGTTATAGGATATAAGACCTGGAAGGAAGGAGGTTTATTTTTGAAAGATGCTTTTCATTGTGCTCTTAGTCATACTGGTATAAGGAAATAAATGTGGCTGCAATGGGAACTCTGAGAATTTTTATGGGAACTGGTAGAAAGGGGGTGATATTGGGTGGGTTGAGAGAAAAAAAATGGTTGTGCTTATGTATATGGTGATTTTGGATTTTAGATGAAGATATTTCCGAAATTTCATGACATAGTTAAGGGCTTTTATGAATGGGATAGCTGGGCTTAAATCTCAGTTCTGCTGCTTAACTAGCTGGGTGATCATTAAAAATCCACCTTATGTTGTTTCAATCAAATAATATCCACTTTATAAAGTTATGGGTTTGAAATTACATAAAGTATTTTATACATTGTGAAGTGCTGTACAAATGTGCAAAAATTAGGTGATATTTTTGCTGTTTTCATTATCATAATGGTTGTCAAGGCTGTCTATAGTTTGCATCTTGTTGTGTCTGTACTGAAGACTTAACTACTTGCTTCTCTCCTTTATTACTTGAAAGTGAGTACTATATTAGGACTCAGTTATTTTCAAAACAGAAAAGAGGCCTTATTGCTGAATGATCTAACAAACATTGAAGGCCTAATGCGTATCAGTCAACATTTCTTCAGGCCTAATGAAAGAACTAAAAACATCATCTATACTATATAACTCTTTAGGAAAGGAGACATGCTAAAGGTCCCAACAGATACCATTTTATTGTCATCAACACATTAGTTGGTCAACAATTTTTGACCTTTTTGTCTTGAAGGTAACAGTAAACAAGTAATAATTAATATCTGTCTACTTATGAAAGTATGTTAATTCTGTTGTTGTAGGACATTGTTTGAAAAAACAATAAAAAATTATTTTGCTGTGGATTCTTTGTGGTTATATAGTAGTTAATTTATTTAGAAATCTCTAATAAGGTACAGTGAGGGTATGAAGTTTTTATGCTTATCAGAATAAGATATGAGTTAAAAATGGTTAAGAAGCACTAAAAGTAAGCTCTCATTTCCAGATGAGTAGATAGTTCATGGAGATTTCATTTGGTGTAATGGAGAACTGACCCTTGCTTGGAAGCCCAATCAGTAGTCTGGTTTATTATTCAGAGTTTCTTTATTATTTTTCTCCCTCTGGTTCTGCTAATGTTTTTCCTAATATAAATGTTTAGCAACTCAGAATCCATGAAACAAGCAAATATCTTTAATCTGTTGCAGAGTCATGGGACTGCCTGTCTGTGAGCCAGTGCTACAGAAATTAGACATCAGTTGTTTAGCTTTAAGGCAACTAGGAAGTCTATAATTGAAGTCTCATTTGCCATTTGAGTGATGTGCCATTTATTGCACAAAAACACTACTGGTATAGGCTATTTCTTGAAGAAGATGTCTTTTGGAGGTGGCATTTTGCTGGAAGAAACAATCCTTTGGTTTTATTGTTCCCTTTTCTAGTTCTAAAAAGCTTACCCTTTTCACTTTTATTGGTGATTTGCTTTGTCATCTCTGTACTCACTTTCATTTATTTCTTGACCTACTCTCTGCGGCAAACCGTCTTTATCGTGAAGTTGTACCAATGGAAAAACTTAAATTTTGTTTCAAAGTGGCCTATGAAATTCCATTCCATATTTTAAATTTAGCCCATTGGAAATATCACTTTTTGCTTCATTTCGTTTTGGTACCTCACTCATGCCCTTGTTATCTAAGGACCATGTTTTCTTTTTTCTTTTTTTTTTTAATTTTAGTTAATCTCATCTGTTTAATCAGACTCACCTGTTTCTAGAAACTGAGCATTTCCCCTTTTCTGATGGGAAGTTGTGGTAAGAGTAGCTTGTTTACTTGCGATCCCAACCAGGGGTCTGTAAGGCGTCTAAGAGCTGAACGGTCTCACATTTGCTTTTCCAAATTAGCAACTAGAAATATTTTAACTTGTCTTGACTATAACTAAGTTACTCTTCTTAAAAAAAGTTTATAATCAGTTGAATTATTCTCAGTTTCTGGCTTATAATACTGAAGAAACTTTTACATAGGGTAGATAAAAGCTAAAGTAAGAATTTCGGATTTGATATCATATTATTTATTGTGGAAAGAATGTTTTCCCTCTAGACTGACTAGGAACAAGATGTTTAAACATAAGCCAGGGTGGAGACCTGTTTGTTTGGTCAGCTTCAGAGGAGCCACATTTCCCTACTTATGATGAGTCCGCCAAGTATTCTACACTCCACCCCCGCCTGATTCTCCAAGTTTCTTTGGATTTTTACTTAGGACTCTGTTGGATAAGAAAGTGATATAGTGCATACGTGGCAATTAGAAAGGCTAAAAGGCTGTTTTCTGCAGTAACGTGATTTTATCATGTCCTTATTAATTTATGCCGTGCTCTGGGTGTGTGTGTATAAAATGGCGTTTTTTTTTTCCCCCAGTTCTCCTCTGCTGTTGCCTTGTGTATTCCCATAGCTGGACTGCAGCAAAACTCCATTTATCACAGGCGGTGGGAGGGGGTACAGAGATATGAAAGGGTTACTGTTCACATTTCCTGTGTAATTCCCTCTGATCTTACTGAGCTGTAATTCCTTTCTTGATGTTAAACATTCCCAGGCTCCTATAACCTTCTAGCCAACTTGTGCTGGCCAAGTTTGTCCCAGGTGATCATGTAGGCGAACCTCCTCTGTTTTTAAAGACTAGAAATCACTTTTTCCTCCATGAGATAGAGGCTAAATGCTCATTCCTTTGCAATCCTAGAAGAAATCCCTTTAGGATAAGAACAGAGCAGTAACATATTAATTTTAAAATTCAAATTTAACAGCTGTGTTTGTTGTCAAATTAATTGTGTGGGTTTTAAAATTGGTTTAATTTCTAGTTAAATGAAAGCCCATTTCATTGATCTGTTAAAGATTACATCCTTTCTTTTAAAAATACACTTGAGAAATGGGTTCTTGTTCTAAAAGGGTAAATTTTGACCTTACCATCTTACTTTTAGTTTACTTAATAAGTGGATCATTTAAAATTACCTCAGATGTAAAGACGCTTAGCTGAAAATGCAGCATTTCTGCTTCAGTTCAATTCAGAAGGTTGTAGTTGAGCATAGGGATATACTCATTTTCTACTTTTTCTCTGGTTTTAAAAATAGCAGCTCATTTTTATTCCACAATTTTTAAAATATATATTTTTGTGGTTGGCAAATGGTTTTCTATTTTTGCCTTTCCCCTTAAGTTTTAGAAGAAAATGTTACACTTCCGTGAAGCATAAGTATGTGTCAGCAGCTGCTGATGAATTGATAGGGGCTGAGTACCTGTGCTGGCACTGGCTTCATCACAGGTAGTGAGCTTTTGTTTAGACACAGCTCTGGGCAAGTTTACTTGTATAGCTTATCACACATCTCTATGTCCTTATTCAACACCTTGGGAAGCTAGGGGCTTGGGGACAGATAGAAACGAAAGCAACGTCTCTTTCAAGGAGTTTCTAGGATAATTTAAGTTTGCTGTTGTTTAGGCCAGAGTAAATTATTTGCATTGCTTAAAGCAATGAGATAAAATATTTTTATGCACTTTAACCATGTATAATATGGTTTTATGTGGACATGGGTAGATAAATTTTTAGATTGATTGTTTGAATCTGCCTTAGAGAGCCAACATTAATGGTTGATATTTCTCATTCTCCTTTAGTTCCCCCGGTGCCAAAACAGCCTGTCACACAGCAGGCTTTCAGTAACAGTTTGTTGAATGAATTGAGACTGCCACATTACTTTTGTAGATTCTTGATTACTCCATAGTGCATAAGTACATACATGTCTAATGTTACTCTCACCTTTCCTATTAGTGTCTAATGATAGATTCTGTTCAACGTCCTTTATTATTAAACAGTAACTAACCTCATAAAATATTTTGCTGAAGTCCTTAAGTGATCTACACCTGGCTGGCCTCTGACACTGCCTTGCCATAGAAAAAACTGAATTTAATCATAAATTACTTAAATTATAGTCTGTTAACATTTCCTATAACCAATAAGCCCATTTATTATTTTCATAATAAAAAACTTTTATATTTTTTCCCAAGGGTTAATTATTCCTAGGACCATCATAGAGCAATGAATAGTTATGTCAATTAGTCAACAAATACTTAGAGAATGCTAATGTAAACAGCATTATGACTGGTATTGTGGATTCTCCAAATATGTATAGGACCGTGGTCCTGTCACCTAAAATAGGGTTCCCTATCCCCACAGGCCACAGACCAGTCCTGGGCCACACAGCAGGAGGTGAGCGGCAGGTCAGTGAGTGGAGTGAAGCTTCATCTGTATTTGCAACCTCTCCCCAGCGCTAGCATCACCGCCTCAGCTCCACCTCAGATATTCAGGCATTAGATTTTAATAAGGAGTGCACACCCTAGATCCCTTGCATGTGCAGTTCACAGTAGGGTTTGCGCTCCTCTGAGAATCTAATGCCTGATGATCTGAGGTGGAGCTGAGGTGGTGATGCTAGTGCTGGGGAGTGGCTGCAAACACAGATAACATTAGCAAAGAAGTATGACTGCACAGAGACCATAATAAATCAATTCCTTGCAGACTCATATCAAAACCCTATCAGTGAGT